TCTGTGCCAGAGACGACGCTGCTCCTGCGACTGTCTGTGCCAGAGTCACCACTGCCCCTGTGACTGTCTGTGCCAGAGACACCACTGCCCCTGTGACTGTCTGTGCCAGAGTCACCACTGCTCCTGCAACTGTCTGTGCCAGAGACGACACTGCTCCTGTGACTGTCTGTGCCAGAGTCACCACTGCCCCTGTGACTGACTGTGCCAGAGACATCACTGCCCCTGTGACTGACATTGACATTGACTGACATTGTTGCCTAGATGGCAGCACCTCCTGGATTGGATCATTACTCTGTAAATTTCGATGTTTTCCATCGTGTTCCAGCTAAGCCCACCCTCACCTCATATAACCCCAGCAGCAGCAACAGCCCACATGAGCTCAATTTGGCTAAATGCGCATTTTGCATGCTTGCAGTTGCATATTTGTGTAACTCAGCACCTTTGGGATCTTTGGCCCTTGTCCAGAAGGTTGTGTGTTTGAGTCCTAAACCCTGTAGAGCCCCCAGCCACTTCAGGGATGCTGGTTGACCTTGTTCTCTGTCCCTAGACTCTCCTTGCTTTTTTTGTTCGACTGCAAATGTCACTATAGTTCATTCAAGTGTTAAATGTGTCTGTATCTACTGACATTAAAACTCTGAAAATATGAAACATCCATAGAGGGGCGCTGCACCTCTAGGACCAGGGTTTGAGTCTCTGCGCTGGCACAGCATATGTGGAGTTTGCATGTTCTCCCCGTGTCATCGCGGGGTTGACTCTGGGTTCCATCCACAGCCCAAAAACGGGCTCAAATTGAGAACTGAGGTGCCACAGTCCCTGAGTATGAACGCTGCGATGGGTTAGTGCTCCATCTTGGGTTTTTGCCCTTGCATCCATAGCTTCCGGGATAGGCTCCGGACCCCCCACAACCATGCATAGGACAGGGAAATATTGAAAATGGATGGAATATTTTTTTGTCTTTCTTATCTTTTTTTTGTTTTATTTCAAGAACTGTACTGTCACCCCGCCTACTGTTGCAAAACCGATGAACCAGTTGCATTTCCTGTATTTCATAGCAACAGACAAAAAATAGAAGCTCTAAACAAATGTCTTCCAGGAAGAGTACAGCTTGATGTCTATTGACGCCTATTCCTGTTATTTAAAAATTGCTATTTTTAACTTCTTTTTAATTTTGGTGCACAAACAACAGGTCTTGTCTTAATATTTTATTGGCAAACAATATTTGCCCGTCTTTGTCGTGGCTGCACGTGTTAGCATTTCCCCTACAGCTTATTACTGCTGTCAGGAATCTTCTTCTGTGGCACAGCGCGCGAAAGCCGCACACTGAACTACGTGTAGAAAATTTTAACAAGCTGACGTGCATCATTTTCATTTGACATTTCATAACTGTCCGATAGAGGGCGATGTTAGACAACAAAACTCATTTATTGTAAATAACACATTTGACATCCCATGATTGCGAGTACTTGATGTATATAGTTTATATATGTCTTGCTTCATATTTACAGCTTTAGTTGCTGGCAAGATATAGCTATAATTCACGGTGGTATACAAATTGCTTGTACGATATTTATAACACGTCTTTACATGTTGTCTGATAAGTGACATCCATATATAAATGCAAAAATATATATCAAAAGAGTTATTTTAAATTCCGTTCATTTCGTGCAGAAAGTGAGGCATTACATCAGATCGCTACGTCAGCATCTTTAAATAATATAACGTTTATTTTTTCGTTTCCTCTTTACATAAAGTTAAATACGAATGTTTCAATCTACTGACATGTTATAAAATACATTTGTTCCTGGGAAATTGCAGGAACGCAAGCCCAGCAGAATCAGGCTGCGGTTTAGCAGCAGACAGGCGACGCATAAATCATTGCAGCTGTGTGCAGTGAGTAGGACTCATTTCTCAGACATCAGTGCATGTAGATATAACACCCATGTAGGTATCTTCCTTCTGGGAAGTATGGCATGAAACGCACCCTGACAAAGTCATGATGCAGATACGTCCGTCCGTCACAACACAGCATTGTCTGTACGTACAAGAAACAGCAGTTTCTCGCGTGTTTTAATCGTTTCATTCATTGCAAATAAAATTGCTTTTTTATGTCACCCTGAATGTTTAATAAGTCCAACTCGTACAGTCAAGTTTAGAATGGACTCTGTAAATACAGAACACAACGGTAGTTAAAATTAACAATATAATTCCTACTCTAAGGATACAAGAGAACATTATATTTTAAAAGTGCCATGTGTCTCTCTGTTAGCTGATTTTCAGTATTTTAAAGCAGAGTCACCCAGTGAGTACCGTTCACATTCTCGTCGTGTTGGCTGGTCTCATTTTACAGCGATTAGACTGATTGAGATGGATGTAATTGTCACTTAACAAAATGACAAATATGCTTCGATCTTCCATCCACCCGCCTATCCACGTTGTAAGCCCTTGGCAGTCGTGGATTCCCCGAGAAAGAGTAAACCAGTCAACTTGTGTCTCCCATCGCTGTGTTTAGGACTGACATGTCTAAAAAAAAAGGGTTACCTTTACTTTCACCTTTTTAAACAAAATGCCTCCTTTGGATCACTTTAAAAATGAGAAATTCTGAGATGTTTTCAGTAGCAGCGAGAGTTCAGTAACACCTCGACGTCATTAAGATCCAGCACAAAAAAAAATCGGCCGTAAAGCACTCAATGCCCGCATCAGGAGGGAAATAATACAATATGCTGAGGCCAAAAGGACAACACGGATTAGTAGGGTTAGGTATAACAGTGTAAGAGACAGTAATAAATTATACACATGAAGAGGTAGTTGGTGAACAGCGTCACAGTAAGTCACAATGAGACCAGACCATGGTGATCTTCAGTGCTCGCTGCTTCATGAAGAAGCAGCACAAAGTGATCTCCCTGTCGCCGGCCTGAGTGCTCATTCCTCCAGGAAGACCATGTCAATACAATCCAGCTGCCATTTCAGTGACAATGCCTCCCCCTCCTCAGTGTGGAAACTCGCCGACTTTCCTTGGGATGTCCCTGACCTTTTAGAAGATCAGTGGTTCATCGGTGGCTGTGATGGAGGTACCAAAGTCACCCTAGCTGTGTCTGGGGGATCCACTCGATCTGTGGGCAGAGCAAGGAAGCTTCCATACAGCTGCATTCTGGGACAGAAGAAGAGAATACAGAGAGATTGTATGATGCAACGTATTATGGTTTATTCTTAGCATTGTTCGTTATTTTCCAAAACTCCCAGTATGACTCAAACGCCTGAAGCATTAAACTTCATGACTTTTCAGGCAGAGGTTTCTGCTGAAAAACACCAAGCACCTTCTGGATGTAAAGTTCTGAACAACTACCCACTGTGGGATGTACTTTTAATCATATATTCTAACCAGTATGTCGTTGCGCTACTTGTACGTGTTCGGCGCCCTGCTCTCCTTCCTCGTGGGGACGCTTTGTGCCCTTTCCCTGGGACTGACAGGGACTGAGTTTTTTTTAATGTGGTGCCATCAGGTTTGTTAGACTGATTTTTTCAGGAGAAACATGGGTGCGTGTCCTCGCCTGTAGGAGCTGAGGGGTCCTAATCTTTGTGGAGGCCTCACATGGGCTGCGACACACACACACACACACACACACATTTCTCACAGATCCAAGCACATGCATATTCTCATTTCCTTTTGTTTCAGAGTTGTACTGTTTCATCTATCGTGCATTAAACCACAGATCTGAACCAGCAAAATCCCACACCATGCAACCCGCCCCCCCCAAATATCTTACCTTACTCTAAGAGATGTATGGTAACATTAGCGTTGTCCTGTGATCCCTGCCCACCAGGGGGTGCAGTAGTGCTCTCTGCGGGACAAAAAAGGGATCTCAGATCAGGGCTGTGGAAAAGTGTCAGATCGGAGCTTTAAATAAAGACGAGCGGCTATACAGACACATGCTGCTCCGCACCTTCTGCTTGCTCCTGGGTCGATCGACAGGCAGATTCTAAAACAGGGAAGAAGAAGCAGTGAGGTAAACCAACATCAGACTGTGTGGGGTCAGCATAATTTACAAAAGCAAGAGAAAAGCAAGTTCGTCAATTTAGCCAAAAGAAAAATGTATAAGAAAATAGCTATATGTACTTTTTTTGGAGAAGCAAAAGAGATAAACAAGAATCGGCTGGATGAGCAGAATCGGCACCAGAACCAGGAGTCCGTACAAATTGACAGCAGGATCCTCACCTGCAGAAGAGGAGAGAGGATAGCATAGATTGAGCTGCTGTGACGTTGTGGTAGAAAAATTATCAACCTCTCTGATAATAAGACCCTGAGTAGTTGGTGAGTAAAGTGATCTCTTTTATTTGGGCAATCCAGCAAAGCGCTCCCCTCACACTCTGGCACTCAGTACCAAGTCACCCCGAGCACAAAGAGCAACCAGTTGATAGCTGATGGTGGTCACAAAACACCAACAAACCGAGCTTAAACGAATAACAAACACAATTCTCCTGCTCTATTGGTTCACCTTGGTAGCAAGGTAAAATCCACCCATCTTGTTCAATTTACCGGAATCTGTCTCGACTTCTAGACTCTACTTGAGATATGTATATAGATATTGATTATATGACATTGAATCACTGTTAATGTTTGGGTGTTCCATTGATTAATGATTAACACATTGACGTATTGTCATCGAGTCACTGCAAATACATGGTAAACATATGATTAGTATGATTAATATAACTATTACGTATACATTTGCACTACCGGGTAACATATTGTATATTGTCTACTGCGACTATTCTATAACTATAACTATAACTCTTTGTGCACCAGTTGGGGCAGCTTCGAGTCTCCCCCCCTGCTCCGCTGTCTGCCTCTCTAAGGTCCGATCTCTCTTCAGGGTCTGCGGAACTAACCGCAGGCAGCTATCATGAAGTGAGGTCACACAGTATTCAGAACAATCTCTTCTTGCCTAAGGCCTAAGACATAACAGACCCAATATGCCTCCCCTCCCACGCCTACCAATGTCCAATTTTCCTTCCACAACGTGTATTTCCACAGGCTGAGAAATGGCCAGCAGGTGGCCTAGCAGTGGGGGCACTGGGTTTGCATAAAACCACTTTTCAGACCACATTTTGGGCAAAAAATGGTACAAAATAACAAAGTGAGTACACAGATTTGGGAAAAAAACTCTGGCTTCATAGTATTTATTTTAATAACACATGTATTTATTTAAGTATTTCTTTGCTGCGTGCTGTTTTATAATAAGGGAAAAAGGACATGCTTACAGTGATGGATTGTCTGTGTGCTGCTTTCATTTGTGCGTAGAATTGGGTTTTCCACAATGCAGGTAACCGGAATTTCTTCCTGAGACCAGAGGTGCAGTATGCTCGTCACAGAGATGCTTCCGTTGGTGGTGCTGCTATTGGTCTTCACTTGGTCTGAGTCGATTGCCTGAGTCCCCACAATCCAGTGGATGAGAGGCTCTGGGAATCCGCCCCAAGTCTCGCAGCGGATCTCCGAGGGCCACGTGGACTCCGTACAGACTTCCACGGTCACTCGAGGCTTGCTGAAGGGGGCTGAAAGACCAGCAGACAGGCAGTGGAAATCAGTGGGGGGGGGGGGGGGGGGCTATGCATAAAATGTTCCAGGAAACTGTCTGGAGATTTCGCTAGAATACACTTTCAGCTAATAAGTTCACATAAGCCGTCTAAAGGTGTTTTCCAGGGAAGGAACTACAGAAAAGGCCAACAGTCTTCCTATCAGGGGAGGAATTAAATAAACAAAAATTTGGGAAGGAACCGTAACCTAATTCTGGTTCATTACCCCACTGATCTGATTTCTCAGGGAGAGGTTAAACCCAAATGAGAAGCGTGGGATGGCTTAGATGCTGATGATTATGGAACAACAGATATGTAGCTGAAGTCGTGTCCTTAAGGGTTTCCTGAATAACATAAATTTTGCAGAAAAAAAATGTACATTTCTATAACCAAAGTGAAAGATCATTATGTGTACATTCCTAGTGCTGAAACCGAAACTGCTGTCTTTCGGTCCCTGATCTGTGTCGGCCCACGTTGTTCCTTAATCCCATCAGCCATGTTGCATGGTTACTTCCGTGGCCTGACTTAAAAGTGCAGCTACTTTTCTGATGCCAAACGCATCGCAAATCCCCCCAGGACCGACTGCTCTGGAAAGTACATTTCCAGCCATATTAAGGCTGTGAGATATGCAAGAAATTTCCATGTATGTAGTGGACCTATATTTTTAAATGCACTTTGCATTTTAAATATGATTTTATTGTCGTTTATAATTTGCTATCAGTGTTCGGAATGCGCAGTGGTGCTCCTCTGACAGCAGGCTAATGAACGCAGATTTTGTATCATTTGAATGTAAGAAAATTTTACAGTCAGAGTTTGAATTGAAAGAATTCTATTGGCTTTGACAGCACAGGGATCTATGTGGTTCTCGCTTATGCACAAAGCGGTAGCAATTCTGCTGATCTCACCTCCAACATTGAGCTGAGTCCTGCAGCGAGGTCTGTTGCTGTTTTTTTCAGGCACGATAATTGTTTCGTACTGGCCGACGTCCGCAGGCCGCACCGATTTCAGTAACAGACTGAAGTTCCCCCTGGTCAGTTCATTGGGAAAGACTTCTACTCGACCACGGAAGCTGTCCTTTTGGTTCATTTCAGTGATTATGCCCTGTTTGAAAGTCAACACCACGTCTGAAGAGGACCTTCCTTGTGACTGCTCTCGCTGCCAGAAGACGCGCAGGTCCTTCTCCTGATAGGTGGCTGAGGTAGAGCAGGCCAACATGATGTTGTCACCGACTTGCACAGTGACCGTTGCATTGTAAATGTAGTTTTCTTCACTTTGGACCAGCAGAATCATGCATCCTGCATGTGATCAAGAGACAGGTGGTGAGGACCCAAAAAAGAGGAATGCAAAAACACTGTTTTACCTTATTCAGCTGCTCAACAGCATTTGGTTGGTTGATGGTTAGTAATGAAGGAAAGAAAAAAACTTTTTTTTTGTTTTGTTTTTTTGATCCCACTAGATGGCGCCCTTGGTTTGCTTTGGGGCATGCTTTGTGCCCGTTTTTGAACATAGAGCACCACCTAGTGGAGTAAAAAATATACAGCAAATGGTTTACGAAGCATCATTTTGTCCATCACTAAAGGTTAGATATAGCTGACCTTGTTGAATTATAGAATATAACTGAAGGCAGACCACTGTCTAACAGGGACAATTGGGAGGGCCAGGTGAGGACCCAGGTAGGAGGGGTTGCATGTTATGGAGGCCCGAATTATAGTTATGGCCTGATTGAAGGTATAACATATGCAACAAAATGCATGTTATGTACAGCTGGTGTGTGCATGAAAAAGCTTTGTTCTGTCTTCTGTCTGTTCTGTTCTTTCTGGCAACATGAGGATGTTGTTTTGCATCTACATATAAAGTAAGAGCCCTAAAAAATCAGAAGCCCGAACTCCAACAAGAACAAACATCCTTAGCCCAATCCGTAAACATTACCAAACAAGTCAACAAAAGGCTGGGGTACACCCTGGACGGGATGCCAGTCTATCGCAGGGCACAGGGCTGGGGTACACCCTGGACGGGATGCCAGTCCATCACAGGACACAGCCAGTTGATCATTTTGGTTTTTGTTTTTTACTTTTTTCTGGATAGATTTTGGCACTGACACGGATAGTTTAATTCCTTCATAAATTAAGGGATTTTCCTGAGATTTCTTGTTCTGCTTGGCATTTCAAAAAAGGGTTTTCCTAAACTGAATGTTTTTCTGGTGCTAAAACTTACACTTAAATGTCGAAGGATAAAAAATACCAGTCTTTCGGAAATGAGTCACTGGAAAATCAGGGGCCCTTCCAACTGAAAAAAAAAATCAGTCTTATACATTCTGACCGTTGTTCAGCCGCCCACACAAGTGTCCAGAGAGACACACTGGGGCTTAAAGGCTCTGATCGGGGTAAAAGCAGAAGTCCATGCGGAGCTTGACGCAAGTAAAAACAAGAACAGAGAGTGACGGGCTTCTGTCACTGTAATGATGACACGCAGAAGGCGGCCACACCGCACCCAATGAGTTCCATGACGCCCACTGTCGCTATTCCTATCTGCTCGAAAGAGGCGTCAAGAGGCTACAATGGAAGCGGCCCACGGGGTGTTCCGGGCATGTGTTTCAGATCCCGTTTTGCTGAAAAAAAAGGCTTTATTTTGCTTACGATCATGGGAGATAGGCTGCTCGGAGTTGCCAGTCAAGATGGCAACCTGAAAACAAACAGCCGATTGTTTGCATTGCTCCTATCATTTGAGGCATTTCCCTAGTTAATTTGTAGTTATTTAATTATGTCCATTTAGTTCATTCATTTATAGTTTTCATATTTCTTATTATTATATTTCTTTCTGTCCTTGCTACTCGCTCATCGTGTTCTTTGCCTCTCATACAACTTACTCTCCCCAAGGCCGTCTGACCCCCCTGGCTCCGGGAGTCTGTATGAAGACCATAGATAAAGGGCCTGCTTCCCTCAGGGGGGGGCAGAGACAGAGACAGATGCAGACAGACACTGAACCGGCCGTGTGAATCATCTTTCTGTAACACCTTCATTCTGTCTTAATAAACTGCTTAAGCTTAAGGAACCTGCCTCACCATTCGACTAAAAGAACTGGACGTTTCACTGAAGAAATCTGCCACCCTGCAGAGACTGACACACTTCTGCACTTTAAAACTTCACACTTGGGGTGTCGAGATGGGGGCTCAGTGGTGCTGCTTACTCCATGCGCCAAAAAGTACATGATTTCCCAGCGAAAAGCCCCCAGCTGTCCAGTCTATGGGCCACACCGGCATCCCTGAATCCCGACACCTTTGTCGACTGGCTGTTCTTGGTCGTCTCTGATGGCTACCCAACTCACGGGCTACTATTACATTTGCACCCACATCAGTTAATCCTAAATTTCAGTAACCGCTTTGCAACTAGAGATCATTCAACAAGAAAAGGGAATAATAATAATAATAATAACAATAATAATAATACGTTTCATTTGAATAATGCTTTTCAGGGACCCAAAGAAGCTTACGACTGTCACGTAGCAACAAAAAAAAAAGGAAAGACTAAGAATGTCGAACACAGCTAGAAAGTAATAAACATAATAATATATATAGACAAGAGTTCAAACTTATGTACGGTTACATTTATTTTGCAGATTAAAAGAGGCCTTTGTCTAAAGTGGCATCCAAGTAAGGATCATCAGAAAACTTTTGTTATTCCTGGGGAAATTGTTGGTGATTACAGACTGCAGTAAACAACAGCACTGAAAGGCAAAAACAGAGGATGCACAGCACTGCATACAACAATTGCTGTATCAAATCAAAGTAAGTATAATATATAGAATATGTAACAGGTGGTGCTCATTGAGCAGGGTCAGGTATTGTAGCTCACAGAAATGGGTATATCACCAGGGTACGCATCGGAATTCCCCCAGCATGAGTCATCTTAGTCACATTTTACCTTATGATAAGAACTATTTATTTTGGCCTAGGTCACAGTCCACCCATGTCGTCACACCCCCCCCCCCATTCTCGGAATTGTCTGGGGGACAGAATCTTCCCAGGTTACTTTGCCTGATAATAGGGGGGTACAGGGGTAGCTGGGGGTGCCGGAGCGCTTTCCCTTTTTGATGTTTACTGGGGGAGACCCCCCCCCCCCCCAAGGTCAGTAAATTTGATCACAGATGATCATGCAAATTTTACAGCCTACTTTCCTGCCCCTACTGCAGAGACACAGGGGGCCTTCACACTTGGTCTGCATTTATCCCTGGTAGCCCGTCCAGCTTTACATATTACTGGTAATAGCCACACTAAACATTACACTCAAGTAGTAATCTTGCAGATATTTCGGAGACGTGCAGTTGATTCATAGTTAACATCTCCGGGTCCCACATGGAGGCCGTAACGAGCTTGTAGACAACTTAAAGTAAGAGCCTAAACCAGCAGTAGTGGACTATATTACTGACTCTGTTGCTCTGATAAAAACACACGATTCAGTGGCGTGACTCGGTTCATTAACACTTTTGCTGTAAAAACTCATCAAAAATGATATAGCTATGAAATCGCACACAGACAAACACATGTGCCGTCCTTACAAGTTAACAAGTGAAACATGTATTTGGTTACTATGGGAAGTGTTAAGAGTGGGCCAGTCATATATGAAGCTCAGAGAGTCACAGCACTTAATGAAATGAATGATAGGTGCTTTTTGATATGTCACTATTCTGCTGCGGCTGGGGCTCAAACCAGCAACCTTCCGATCACAGGGACAGAGCCACTGCCCCAAATAAAGCTCATTAACAAAATCAATACAGACGCTCCTCTACCTACGACCTTTCAACTTACGAACACACGAAAGAAGAGGACTGTAAGTCCAAATTGTGTTCGTCAGGCTCCCGTTTCCTGTCCGCAACATAATTTTTTTTCTTTTCTGTGCGCCAGTTCCGCCTAGTACGACATCTGGCCGCTACTCCCGCCGTGCAGCAGCGTAGCGTCCGTACTCACAGCATCCTAGTTCTTTGTACTTACGTATACCCTTAAAATGATGTTGAATAACAACTTACAAACATTTCGAGTTACGAGCGGCCGTTCGGAACGTATCTCAGTCGTAAGTAGAGAAGCGTCTGTACTAACCGTAATAAAAAAAAGACTTACCAATTAGTTGAATCCATCTCCATTTTACCCAGGCCATGGTGAAGAGAATTTTTCTTTACGTGAAATAAAAAAATAAGGGTTAAAACACAAATCTATACAATAAGTTATTTCTTCGTAATATGTCTCTAAATCAAGCAGAATAAATAAATGGGAGTGTGAGGTGGAAGATTCCGCGCCTGTGGCAGTGCCCTCCGTACCGCTTATGTGCGCCTAGACCACTGACCTGTCAAAATAATCTAGTGCTGTTATTTCCGGAGCGTGTCATTCGGCGTATGGGTGACTGGCAGCCCTCAAGCTGCGGTCTGAAACGGAGAAAAGCGTTTTTCTCAGTTATCGACTTACTTTGTACGCGTGCTTTTCTGAAAAGAGAAAAAGAGAGACAGCTGTTGGTGGCTGAGACGTACCGCAGTGTCCTTTCAGTCTCTGTTTTCTGTGGTGTCTTTAATAAAGCTATTTATATGCCGAATACACCCAGATGTTCGGACTTGAATCCTCCGGGACAGATAAACTTAACTACAACACTCATACCAGCACGACGGGCACTTATTTAAACAAGGAAGCAAAACCTCAGCGTTTAGCCTATCCGCAAGACAGACACTTTGTAAAAACCTAGAAAATCAGGACTCCAGATATGCACTGCACATATCCCGCCGTTATTTTGATTATTCGTGATCGCGGCGCTATCGGAGCCCGCAGCCGCTCTGCAGGCGCAACTACATGGTCCTGAAAGTGCGGCTCTAATGCGCGCTGGAGCCGCTCCGGAGAACCTCTGCCCGGTATAAGAACAGAAGAAGCGAAATTCTCCTAATATAAACGCTTCGTGTTAATATGTAAGCAGCGCATGGCAGACGCAAGAACTTATAAACTGAAAGAGGAAGAACGATAAGTACTGTACACGATGCGAGGTAAATGACCGGGAATCTGGTGGCTTTCGAGTAGATGGCATTCCTGCATAGAAAACAGAAACTAACACTTAGATTGCTGTAAAAAGCTCAACTGAGGTAGGCCTATTTAAGTCGGGGAAAAGGCAGTACATCTTACCTTAGTGTTACATTCTTCTCCTATTAGACCACTAAGCGGAGTAAAGTACTTCAGACATCCACTGGCCGAAATGTGCTGGAAGTTCTAGCGGCTTACCGTTTTTCTGTCTGGTTTCCTTTTTGCGGGGATTTTACCCTGGAACTTCCCCGCTATGTCCAGCATGTCCCTCGGACATGGTACGGCATTACCAATGCCAGTCAGTTATCATGGTAGATCGCACAAATCTGGTCACATTACAAATATCGCAATCGGATTTTATTATAGCCAAAGCTAAATAATTACGTGCAATCATCTCTTCATATTGAAACAAGCCATACGATTAATTCCGACAAACTTAAGCATTTCCACGCAAGATTTCATTTCTGTTTGGGCTCCATATTCGGGAATATGTGGGGGGGGTAGGGAAATTTTAAAATCCCTGCCGTTAATTAAGTACCGGAGTTTTACTTGAGGTATTTCCCAGAATTCCCTGAATCTCTTGTTAGGGCTTCCCGCCTTTCTACTCATATTTCAGTTTGGTGGTGCGATGTACTGGCAAATCTTTCATTGGGAACATATGACTTCTGGCCGTTTCCTGTCTGGTCTATCATCGATCCATCCATTCATGTAGGATTTGTGACTAGAGTATAGCGTATAAAGAGTATAGCGTCTCCATACGTTTGTAAGGCATCAAACATTTGATTTTATGGCCACGCACATCACAATAGTCTAATAAAAATTAAATATGAATAATTTTATTTTCTAAGTGGAGCCGTAGAATAGATAAAGTTCAGTGAAGTCACCCTCAAAAATATTACTGGCCCCTGATGACTACCGCAATCAAAATTTTCTGCTGACACCCCTAGACGGCCGTTGTTCATTTGCACTTCTGTGATTCAACAACGAAAATCTTGAGACATGAAATGGCTTCATTAAAATGACAAAAAAATATTTTTTGTCATTATTGTTTTTCAAATTAGCTTACCCATTTGGGACACCTATTACCTTGACCTGGGGGGTGGTAATTACTTTAATGCTGCATAGAATTAATTTGCTCCACGTTAGCTGTGGAGTCCGTTTTGAAGTAACCCGGTAAAGGTTTGTGGTGCTGAGCTCCTTCATTCATGAAATCGGTCCATCCAGTCTGTAGCACCTTCCCGGTCAGGGCTGCCTGGATCCTCTTCCAGACAGCATAGGATACCAGACACCAGTTAGCAGAATGTATTGTAAATTTGTATGTGTGTCACAAATACAAATGGACCCAGTGGAGGTTGTGAGTGACAGGAGAATGGTGGCTAAGCTGTCATCCCTGTTGGATAACATCTACCACCCCATGCAGGAGACTCTGACAGCACTGGGCAGCTCCTTCAGTGGCAGGCTTCTGCATCTATGATGTGGGAAGAAGAGATTCAGAAGGTCTTTCCTTCCATACGCTGTCAGACTCTATATAAGTCCTTGCAGCTGACCACACACACAGACACACACACATCGACTAACAAAACACACACATACAATACACCAGGATGTTTTTCTTATGTGCAATATTTCTTGAGTGCAATTCCACTGTGTTGTACATATATTTATATTTATATATTTCCACTTGTACATATATATAGTTTTTATCCTGTTATTTTTTTAATTTGTGCTGCTCTGTTTTTTGCCGTTGCATTGCCGTGACAATGCAAATTTCCCACTCGTGGGACTAATAAAGGATTATCTTATCTTAAATAGAACACACTTGAGATTTGATTCTTTAGAATGCCATAATTAAACAGTTATAATAATAATAATAATAATACATTTTATTTATAAAGCGCTTTTCAAGACACTCAAAGACGCTTCACAACACAATAGAATAAAATAGCACACAATTTATAACATAAAATCAAACATTAAAAGCAATTTTAAACAGGTGAGTTTTGAGTTCTTTCTTAAAAGTAGGGAGATCAGAGCAGTCGCGGAGGGATTTGGGCAGTGAGTTCCAAAGGGTGGGGGCAGCGATGGAGAAGGCTCTGTCCCCCCAGGTTCGGAGCTTGGTCCTGGGACAGGAGGTTCAAGCTGGATGAGCGTAGGGAGCGAGATGGAGTGTGGTGATGGAGCAGGTCTGTGAGGTAAGAAGGGGCCAGGTTGTGGAGTGCTTTGAATGTGATGAGAAGTTACACCCAATGTTTTTATCCATCATCCATTTTCTGAAACCGCTTGTCCTATTCAGGGTCACAGGGGGGTCTGGAGCCTAAGGGTGTAAGGCAGGGGTGGGGTGCCCAGGATGGGGCACCAATCCATCACAAGGCGCACTCACACACCTATGAGCAATATGGTAACTCCAATTAGCGTTAGCATGTTTTTGGGACTGTGGGGGGAAACCAGAGTACCTGGAGGAAACCACACGACAGCACAGAAAGAACATACAAACTCCACACACATGGAACCCTGGCGGAGACTCAAACCCGGGTTCCAGAGATGGGAGGTGACAGTGCTGACCACTGCACCACACTGCCGCCCCCAGTGTTTTTGTTTGGCGTTACTGGACTTGGACTGACTTAGCAAGTTGATTTTAAACTGAAAGTAACATAACATAACAACATGTCCTGCAGGGCGGGCAGTTCTCTCCTGGTGATTCACGCTGCACTCCGTATCGCCCTCTACAGGGCGGGTAGTTCTGTTCAGGTGATTCATTCTGCACTCCGTATCGCCCTCTGCAGGGCGGGTAGTTCTGATCTGGTGGTTCATTCTGCACTCCGTATCGCCCTCTGCAGGGTGGGCAGTTCTGTCCTAGTGAATCATTCTGTGCTCCATATCGCCCTCTGCAGGGCGGGTAGTTCTGTTCTGGTGATTCACTCTGCAAGGCTCTGCGGTCCTTGGAGATGCAGCTGCCATACCAGACAGTGATGCTCCCAGATCCCACAGCAACACTGCAGAAGGTTGTTTTTTTTTTTTTTTTGCAGCACAGAAGAGACCCTGAATTTCCTCAGCTGCCTCAGGCGATACAGTCACTGCCTAGCTATCTGTACCAGGATGGACATCTGGGTTGTCCCTGTCACATCCTCGGGAACATGTACTCCGAGGTACAAGTAGCTGCTGACCCTCTCCATTGGGTCACGTGCTCTGCTGCTCCTTCCTGATGTCCATGACCATCTCCTTCATTTGTGCTGGCCAACTGTCCCCAGAGCTGGGGGCGTATGACAGGGTGGCCCAAAACATAGCCAATCTATGCCAAAAAGCGTAGTATTCACTGCACACCTTAGAGTATGCACTGGGGCCTGTTTTTTCTTGGTGTACCTTTTACATCGGTATGGTGTGTTGGCAGGCAGACATGCAGCTCTTTATCCCTTTCAGCCAGTAGATGGCGTAACACAGGACAGCTGGGTAAGTCTGCAGGGACACATGACGAGAGTGACTGTGAGGAGTGACACCTTTGTCATTCTCTTGCGAATAGATACATTTTTTATCTCTCTGGGGAAACTGGGAATTTTTCTTCCATCTTGGTGTCCTTGACAAACACAGACACACAGGGTTACGACGAGGTTACATTCCGACAAACCTGTCGTGAGGCAAAAATGCATTTTAATACAGTACAACTAACCCTAACAAACCTCATAGCCTAGCCTAGCCTACCTTAAACATGCTTAGAACACTTACATTAGCCGACAGATGGGCAAACACATTAACACGAAGCCTATTTTATAATAAAGTGTCGAATATCTCATGTAATTTACTGAATAATGTAATGAAAGTGAAAAACTGGAACTGGAATCCCCGTCGTAAAGTCGAAATATCATAACATGGACCATCGCAACCTGTGGAGCATCTGTACAGGTGAGAGCAAGTTTTTTGGGATAAGAGCAGAGTCTCAGCCAGCCTCCAGCTGCCCTTCCCCAAGGGCCCAAAGGCGAGATTGTTACCCAGCCAGCAAATGGATTTGTACCCTGGCTAGTTAGCAAACAGCTAACCTAAACCTGATGTAATACACACCATCAAACCACATTTGGCTTTCATTTTAAATGGTACAGTGACTCATTAAAATTGTTCTTATATAGGCCCCATGTCTTACTATTGCAGTGACTCAACAGAATTCGAATATACTAGGAGCTTTATTGTGGGAAAAATCTCTTCAGTCTCTTCTCATGGAGATGTCACACAGAAAGTGAGGTTTGGAACAAAGCGCTCTGTTAGTGCCGAATCACAAGGGCACAGATGAGTCAGAGTACCAATGCTCATTCTCTGTGAATACCGTTGTTGAAGCAGCACAGGAGGGCCGTGAATTGAAGCAGCATTTCACTGTAACACTGCCATTCTCAAGAATCACGATGATTACAGCATTAGGTATTTCACATAGGCGGACATTCCAGAGCAGGACAAAGTCAGTTGACCTTTCGTGATTCTGTTTGTTTCTCAGACCCCAAGATTAAGCTTCTGGAGGTGAATGTTTGATCCCACACCCCCCTGAAGACCAAATAACAGGCTTGTTTTCATGCCTGCTTATCTCCTGTTGATTCCCTTATTTTCATTCCTCTTCATCCCTGGCTAATAATCCCCCCCCCCCCCCCACCACCCAATTTTATCTCCCTGTGCCTGCATCACGTGGATCTGTTCAGCATCATGGCAACAAAAATCTTAAGGAATGGAAGTTGGGAACAGGCTCACTTATAGAAACACAGAAACCCCCAGAACATTCGCTAGAAAGAAGATGGGCGTTTGATGTGACTCCCTATTATTACAACATTGAAGATCCCCGAATTTCCACTGAAAGATTTCTTGCACACAACTGCGGATGTGACAGTGAAGGTTACCATTTAGGACTTGAGCCTGGAAGTACCAGGGACGGAGGTTGTATTGTGACAGTGGTGGCCTTTGCTATGTTGTGTTTTGTGTGTCCCATGGTTGGCTACCCTGTATAACTTATGTGAATCTTCCTTTAATCAATCAATCAATCAAATTTTAGGTTCTTTTTTCCTGTTTTTAATGTGTGTGTCTCTCTCCTAGTTCCTGGTTCTCCAGAGTCCCATCTCCTGGACAGTTTCAGCATCTTTTTATCTATCAGTTATGTCTCCAGTGCCTGTTTCCTGGTACCAGTCTCATTGTCCCCATCGTTCTGGCCAGTCCCCCCCCCCCTTTCTGGAACTGTCACCCCCAATGCCTGGCAGTTGGCTCATCAGTTCAGATCAGATACCTGTCTGGTGTGTGCTTAATGTTGGATATTTCATCTGTTCTCTTCTTCCTATCACCTTTCCTGGTGAAGATTACAGTGACAGCATGCTAAGCAGGTCAGGCTAGATGCCTTTCTCCATGGATAAGGAGTCTGGCTCCTTCTGGTGTGGGGATCCCTAGAATTTCCAAAGCCAGCTGGCAGATATAATCCCTCCTGCATGTCCTGTGTCGTCCCTGAAGCCTCAGTCCAGTATCCCATGTCCTACAGGCCAGTCACCAGGCTTCACGGCCAGAACAATTGCCTTGGGAGCACAGGGGATTCTGCAGGCAGTGAGATTCCACCCCCATTGGTCTGATTTTTGAACATTAAGATTAAGATTTACTTAATTGTTCCCAGAAGGAAATTTTGGTGCCCAGACAAACATAGTGTCAGTCAGACTAGGTGCAAAGACAATACACATAGTGTGAACAAAGTAAATGTAGTGTAAACAGATTTAAAAAGTACATTACACTGATAAAATATCCTGAAAAAGTATTGTGACACTAGAAATAAATACAGACGCTCCTCTACTTACAAACTTTCAACTTACGAACTTTCAGACATATGAACAAATTGTGTTTATTGGACTCCCGTTTCCTGTCTGCAACATCAAAGTTTTTTCTCTGCGCGCCAATTCCTAGTACGACTTCGGGCTGCTACTCCCGCCGTGCAGCAGCGCAGCGTCCGTACTCCCAGCATCCTAGTTCTTTGTACATGCGTCTACCCTTAAAATGATGCTGAATAACGGCTAACGAACATTTCGAGTTACGAACGGCCGTTTGGAACGTATCTCGTTCGCAAGTAGAGGAGCGTCTGTATTTCAAGAATCAAGAGAGAGACTCGAACCCAGATCCGAGGTGTGAGGCAAGTGCTAATCACTGCACCAACGCATTTGAAAATGTGGCTTGTGTTAGTCATATCAACATGTACAAATTATTTATTGTAGATGTATTTACATTTTTATATGTAGCTCAATGTTGCCTAATGTGACCTGTAATGACCACCTGACCCCCTGGGAGAAAAGCCTATGGTCGCCTTTGCTTAGGGGTCGTCCAGGTGGCATCCTTAGAAGACGGCCGCACCCCCACGGCTGACTCCTCCTGATCTGAAGGAGCATCGGCTCGATTTTGAGGTCCCTCTCCATCTCTGAACTCTGACTCCGGCACAGAGAGGAAGAGACGCTGTGGAGGAACCTCAGTTTGGCGCTGGGATTGAGCAAAAATGTGGACTGTCTGAGGATCCCCGAGGGCCGGCTTGGGAAACACCGGCATAGATCAGCCAAGTGATATGTGTCCGTCAGTGGCAGACAGCGAGCTACACCTGCTTTTAGAATAGTCCAAAGCCAGACCCATTCCTCTGACATTTCATTTTGTGGAAAGTATGATCAAAGCAACTTAATGCAAAGTGGAAGATGTTCTTCTCAAACACCCATAAAAAAGCTAAATCGGCATATTCTGATTCATATTCGCCTCAGTGAAAAACCACCCTCCTCTATCCCCGGGGAGACCTAATGAGAAACAAAATGAATAGACCCGTCTTATCGGTGTAACTGACACAGGCACACTCTCTCTTCCTTGAAAAATAGTGCTTCTTGAAGGTTGATTTACAAGAGCTGTTGCCCCCTGACCTCATTGCTATGGAGGAGTATATAAATCTTTTGTGAAACTGCCGGCCCCCGAAAAAGGAATTCGCCAAGAGCAAACACGATAGATCACCTGCTGGAGCGTTTAATACGGTAAGCTAAACATGCCTGTGAAAAGCCGCCTCTAGCTTCAGCCGGGCTCGGCCAAGGGGCTCCTCACAGGTCGAAGTGCCCGATTTGGCTGTGAGGTGACCCCCCCACCTCCCCCCGCCCCACTAGGCATTCCCAGAGGAGAAAAATACTCCCCAGTGCATTTTTGCTCCAGTAAACCGTAACGTTTCGTGGCTGAATTTACAGCCAAATAATAAACTTAGCAATTTGGTTTAGAAACCCAACAGGTTCTATATATAATTGCATTTGATGCAATCGATGCAGGGGGCATCTGCAGAACTTATATAACACACATTTGGAGAACCTCTCCATACTCGCATCATTTTATATGATGATAAATATTCAGTCCAAGTGGAGCTTTGTGTTTGTTTAAATGAGACAGATCGTCGTGGGCTCCAGCGCCCTCGCTGCCCCCTGTTTGAGGGATGGGGGCGATTTACAGTTTCACCTCACGGTCACCAGTTAGCTGCGCTTTGCTGGGCGCTCTCACGCACTTCACACGTACGCTGGAAAAAGCTGCGGCAAATCTAATTACCGCTTTCTGCAGGGGAGTGAGTGCACAAAGACCCCTTGTCCCGCGGCGTTAATAATGAACCCGGCAGCTGTTGCTATGGATACCACCCCCCCCCCCCCGGATGGGGGGCTGGAAGTTGGAGGGAGGAGATGTGTGTGTGTGTGTAGTGGGGAGTAAGGCTAGTTACGGGAACACTGGAATAAAAAACAGGAGTGGAACCAACGACTGGACCTCGGCGTCCCCGCATTTGCAGCCGGAGTCCTGCCGAGTCGGACGCAGCGTGAACGCGCCTGACGGACCGCGCAGGTAAAGCAGACGGAGGCGAGCAGGTGGGCAGGGCGCGCGCACACGCACTTTCTGCAGCGTTTCACTGCTGCGGCGGAGATTCCTTAATTTGTTCTCTGGGTTATTTTCGGAATGCTTTTTTTTCCCCTTCTAATCTTCTAACCAAAAGCTGGCCGATGTGACATTCCCGTCACGCATGAAGTCCTTTAACCGGCCATTTTCGGGAGCAGATTCTTCTCGAAGCCACTTGACTGTATCACGTTTCACCGATTTAAATGCCTCGCTCGTTTGAAAACGGTTGAGAAACAGGGAAACAAAAAAGAGAAGGTGTATGTTTCCTCTTGCTTACTAGCTAGACTAATGACACGAAATCAAGGCAGGCTGATTTAATCTGAATGAGTCTTTCCGGATTTCTCAGGTAGCGAAAACCTTTATGCGCTTTGACGTCTTTACTGTACTTCCCGGTGCGCCTTTATCAGATCTGGACCTGATGTATCGCTGGACTTCTTGGTTTGGCATGGCTTGTGTCTGGACCTGGCACTTTCCACGGAAGAGTACAATGAGCATGTCTGTCCTTTGTGAATTCCCTAGTGTCTGTGGGTGTCTGAGAAAGTAAACATTTTAGGAATACAATGACTGGAAGTGACAAGTAACCAATATGTGACTTAGTAAACATGTAATCTCAATCGCCTGCCATATCAGGTGCTATGAGGCAGACACATGGGTCAAATTTGTAAAGGTGACTAAGACACTTGCTCAACATTTTCCTCAGAAGCACAGGAATAATGCGTGGGAGCTGGGGGTGTGTGTAGATCCCCCATCCCGCTCTGGGGGAGATAGACGGAGAGCATAAAGGGAGGGGGCAGCGTGGCAGAAGCAGCCTTCATCTTTATTCATGCACTTTGTTTGAGTGTCTTAAGAAACAAGGACCCAAGGGGGTCGGCAGTAGGCTGTGTGTGGAGAGTCCAGTGTTTGCGGGCTGAGTTCAGAGCTACTGCTGTGTTAGCGCACATGCGTCACTCCCCCGACACAGACAATAGTAGGGTGGAGATTCTGTACCCCATGTCCCATACACGCCGCCCCCTGTGTGGGAGGACGTGTCATCACAACAATGGCTTTGTCAGGAATTTTTACTCTCTTGCCACCTGTTTTGCCATCGTCCTGTGTTCAGGTCTTCGGCAGGACTTGATGAAGTGTCTCACACACACTGAGAAGCACTCTATCACACACACTGAGAAGCACTCTATCACACACTGAGAAGCACTGTATCACACACACATTACGCATCTGCTGTGGCAGGAATGATCAGCCAAAGACAGATTCAGTGACAGAGGGTCTAGATCTCTTATGCTGGATTTCTGCTGCTCTGCAATACCACCTGGGGACATGTGGAGGCAGTACAGAGGCAACACTTTCTGGCTGCAAGAATGCCAGAGAGGGAGGGAGGAAGAGAGAGAAAGAGGGAAAGGGAGAGACTGACGGGTAAAAAATAGCGTGTCTGGGCTTCGGGTGCCTGCACTGAAACGTCGCAAGGAGAGATGCAGCGAGGTGGAGAAAGGGGTGAGGCAGCACTCTGCGTCTGCAGCTTGGTTCTCACTCTTGAGCAGATGCAGGAGGAGCAGGGGGTGTCCGCCGGGTAGCGGGAAGAATGACAACGGCGTGGCTCAGTGCAGAGGCAGTAAAAAGTGAATCCGGGGGCGTTTGGGGAGCCTGCCGCTGGGCCAGCCTGGCCCTGCCCCGTATATGGATGCGTTGTTTTTTCCACGCGCCGGGTGGGGAGCCTGCTGCCGCTGGCTGTGATGTCAGAGGAATGCCACTCCGTCGGACCTGATCCCCGGTAGCCGGGACCATAAATCGGGAACCAGACGGTGCGACGGACGTGTGGGGGAGGCACGGCCGAGCCCGAGCTCAAGGAGCAGAACCAGGAGCCGAGGAGGGGCAGGGAGCAGCGCCTGGGAGTCAGGGAGGGACTGAAAAGAGACTGAGGCCGCTAGACGCAGAGAGGATTCTAAGAGGACAGACTGGCTGCCACAGCTGAGCTGGTTCCTAAGCAGCCGGTCTCAGAGCACAAGACAGCCGGCGTGACAGTAACCGAGGAGTTAAAGCATCGTTTGGACGAGGACGGCACATCACATCAACGCCACATCAACGCCACATCACAGCTCAGCCTGTCATGTGAAAAGGAAGCAGAAAGGATTCTTTGTTACCAAGTTTTTTTTTTCTTTTTCCAGACACGGTCTTAGACGACCGGGTCCATTACATCCGACGTCAGTGCCAATTACAACAACGGCAAGTTTTCCAACGCCGCGGTGCTGCTGGGCGCCGGGACCACAGGCTGCTGTTGCTATCCTGATTTTTCCTAAATCGGAAAGCGGGGCTGTGAGGTTTTCTTCCCCCCCCCCCTTTCTTTCCTCCCTCTTTCTTTCCTCCCTCTTTCTTTCCTCCCTCCTTCCCAGCCGGCCTGCCAGCGGAACCGCAGAACTGAGCGGGTTTTATGGATGCCCACGTGCCATCTGCGGAAAAGCTTTTTCCACCAGGAAAAAAATGTTATATAAATATATAGTTTAAAACTCTGTCTGTGAGAAATGAGTAGGAAGGTCTGGAAGTTACAGAGCCAGCCTGGGGGGGGGTCAGCTGGGTGTCGTGGTGGTGGCGATGGCTGGCAGGGGCATAAGTCTGAGGAGCGGAGGTGGCACCTCAACTCCGTTCCTGCAGTACTCGCCACACCCATCTGGGCACCCAGGCAGGGGGCTCCATCCCTGACGATAGCCTAAGCTCTCTGTATTCTCTCCTCCTGGTCAGGTCTCTGGGGAAGGCGGGTTGGTGATGTAGACGCAGTACTGCCTTGGAGATGTGTCGGCCCAGGAACACGTCGCTGATCCACACCAGTGTCCTCTTCCTGGCCCTCGTCGCCATGGTGGGAATGACCCCACCACCTCCCCGCCCCCTCCCCCCCCCCCCCCCCAACAGCACGCTGCTCTTCGACAGCGCGCTCCATGGCAACAGCCTGCGCAACTGCAGCTGCGCCTCGGAGATCCAAGACTGCAGCGACACGCTGGCCAACCTGCTGTGCAGCTGCCGCACAGTGCCGCGCTCCTCGCTGCCCCCTGCTGGCCTCCGTATGCAGGGCGGCCTGACAGTGTGGGTGCACGATGGCTGGCTGCTGCGCGAGCTGCTGAACGGCAGCACGGTGCAGGACCTGCGGCTGTCAGCCTGCGGCCGAGCCGCCCTGTCTCCTCCGTTCCCGCCCCGATACCTTGCACTGTTCGGCCTACGCAGCCTACGCGTGTTCAGCTCTGCCCCCGGCGCCGCTCACCCTGAACAGGCCCTCACCATCTCTCCAGGCCCAACTTGGGACGTGTCTGGGGCACAGGTCGGGATGCCCCCAGCGCCCTTCCACGTCTCCTTCCTGGATGTATCCGTCCTCAATGGCCGCTCGTCCCTGAAGGCCTACAGCGTGAACAGCTCCTCCGCAGCCAACCTCACCCAGCATTTCCCCCACCTGCCCCTGCCGCACGCACCCCCTCAGCACGGCCACCCCCAGCAGGCCTGCCTCCTCACCTTTATCTACTAGACCTGGAGTGTGGGGGGGTTCCTGGAATAAATTAACAAAGGTGTTTGCATTTACAGCACTAAAGCTTAATACTGTCTGTTGAGAAGAAGGAATGGACACACCAAGCAGGACTACAGCACAGGCGAGTCACGGGTCGAGCTAAGAGGATCCAGCTGAGCTCTGTGTTTTCATGCACTGGATCTCCACTGGATCTCTACTGGTCACTGACATGCTAAGAGTGAATGCTGGGGAAATTCCGATGGACCCCCCCCTAGGGAAGGACATTTTCAAGCTGGGGTGTTTGACGTGCACTACATGGTTGTCAGTTATGACAATCACCAACTGTTAATCAGGTTAACTCACCATGAGAAGAGAGGAAGAGAGATCCAGACACAGTGGGGGTCACTGGGTGGGAATCCAGATCATCGTTTTGGTGAATCGTGCAGTGAGATAAGTCTCACCGCATGTGTTGGGCATAGCCCACGCTGCTGCAGTCCACACTGTGTGTATGTATAGATGCATGTCTGAGAAAAGGCAGCGTGTTCTTGAGTAACCGAGAGCACGTTTGGTTGCGTGTGTCTGCAAGCTTGCCGCATCTTACTGACCTTTAGCTTCATCCCTGCTGGGTACTCTAACGTTACTCCGCAGTTACAACGACACATCTGCTCATGACTGTTGAATTATGGGACCTAATACACGCCTCGTGTAGCTTGTAAGAGCACAGGAGGAATCGGCTTGCAGCGGCGACTTCGGCTGCTCGTTTTGGCAGGTTAAGAAGCTACAGTAAGCTAATCTTTTCAGTAGTTCTAATGCCGCTCAGCCCATTACCATGGAGCCACATCTCCTCTTGGAATATGCCTCAAATTGGTTTGATTATGTAGCTAAACCAATGTTGGCTACATCTGCTGTTGCTTTTACAGGGTTGTATGATGGCCTGGTGGTTTTTCAGCAAGGCTTCAGTTAAAAGTACAAATGTGGTTTTTACTAAATCAAATCAGTTAAATCCATTTATCCATCTTGTTACCCATTTTTCCAACAGCTTATTGAGTTTAGTGGTGCTGCTGTCTTTAAATGCGACATAAAATCTGTGTAGAAGATGAGAAAGATAAAGGGTTGGACAAAATTACTGTGAGCTGTCAGTCAGGCTGTAATATAAGCAGCGGTGGACTTACCATAAGGCAAGTGTAGGCAGCCGTCTGGGACCCAGAAACTAGGGACCCCATGAAGACAGAATTTCCAGAAGTTACATTTAAGGATATAACATAATATTATCAATTAAATTATAGAAACATGCCTGCTATTTACATCTTTAACGACAGTTTTCCAGATAGACAAAGTTGCCTCCCATCCAGTGGTAAACTTTGTTGTTTCACTGCCAAGCAAACCGCCACGAAGTAGCCTAACAGGAGAAGGAAACAGCACAAAGAAACCTGACTAACATGACATCATCTCCTGTGTCTTTGAAACTGTTCCACTTGCGTGGTAGACAAACTGAGGTCAGACGTGGAGGGAAAATAATTAAATGAACTTATGCAGATATTTAAGAGTAACCGGAGTACGGCATAGGCTAGCCTAGGCTACAGCCAAGGGCCCCAGCCAGAGAAGAAAGGGTTAAGCTTCTTAAATTTGGCAGATCGATCTGCCGGCTCGATACCCCCCCCCCCGATCTGTGAATTTTGCTGACAGCACTCCTGCCCCCACCCTGATCGGTAAGCTTTACCACTGACATCTTGTACTTTGATTAACATATTATTTATGCCCCATCGTTTTTAATTCCCTGTTGTTTCTTTTTGGCTCCAAATGCCCCACTTGGGGGCCCCTCACTTATGTCAGCCTAGGGCCCCCAGAGAAATTGTTGGCTCAGGGCTGGACAGGGCCCTAAAGAAACCATTAAAACAACCAGCACTGCTGCATATAAACTGCTTTTCCCTATATGTTATTAAACCAGGAACATGAGAACTATTAGGCAAGCCTAAGTATTCGTTTCACAAAGCGAAATACAAATGAATAACAGTCGTTATAAATTGCGCTTGAATAACGTGGTTAAGACACAGGTGCATGGAATTTAGAGTTAGAAAATGCTCTATGCGGCTGGGATTTAGAACTAATCGACCTTCTATCTTGCATGAGGCGACATAACGGAGAGTGTCAAAGGAGGTGTCTGTTCCGACCCCATCAGGTACGGCCAGTCTAGGTTCTCTCTCGCTTTAAGGTGGTCATAACCGTGTTTGGACAAAATGAAATGTTTTCGATTAATAAATACACACATTGTGGCGAGTGTTTAATAACAGAAGTGGCAGAGACAGAAAGCCAATGATTTACACAACCACAACTCTCAAGGGTAGAGTCATTCCATGGCAATGATTACACGGCAATGACATTTACTATTTACAGAAATATAATCATACTGTTGAAAGTTCGGCACAATGGAAAGCAGTCCTGCTGACTAACTCCGCGATGTCACATTTATGTCAACCAATCGTGGACAGGGGGCGGGACCAGAGCAAGCGAGAAAGTCCCCCGCAAGGGGCAGTGTGCCAAAACGGTGATTACCGCAGTGACTGTGCATCGTGTTGCCAGAATGACGTCGATTCGTCTGAAGTACAAGGCTAAAGGTCCCCAGGTTCCCAGGTCCCCCAAAACTAAGGATTGTTTCTAAACACCCAACGGGCATTAAACGTGGCATGAATCGTAAGGGAATTAAAGATGCTTAATAATGAATGATGTGCTGTGTAGTTAAGGTGCATTGACTGGTAAGAGTGAGCTGTGTTTTGCGTGTGCTCAATGATGAAACCGGATAGAAATGCTTTCCAGTGCTATTTGTATATAATTGTGCTGTACTTACCTTAAGAATTATATTGAACGTCAGAATAATATTCAAACATTTTTTACTTTTTATATATTAACGTTTAATTCTAATGTCTGTATCGATGTGATTAAAAATAAATGATGATTCAAAAACACGATTTTGTCTGTTGGAAGGTTTCTCGCACATGAAGGGCTTGCTGTCATAATGCCTGGCCACAGCCGAAACATCAGGCGCTTCTTGTAGTTGAATAAAAGCTTAAGTTTAGTCAGATGTTTATGTAGGCTTATACTTAACCTAAAGTTTATCATGTGATTGTTGGTGGGAATTAAAAGTACTTTTCAAAGAATGTTATTTTAAAAGTTAAAAGTTAATTTTGATTTAGTTTCTTAGAAATAAGCTATAAGTGACATTTTTAATTGGGGGAATTTTCTGCCTTTTTGTGAGGGTGTACCCCACTGGGGAACAGATCCATGTTCTGCTAAGTATGGGGGACTTTACTGTGAACTGAAGTCAAAACAACAGGAAACAAACTGAATACAAAGTGTCTAAGACAACCAAAAGTCTAGAAGTAACGCAAAAGGAAAAGCAGGGGAGTTTCAGGGGTTAGAAAGAGGATAAAGAGCAGGGCCGGTATGCATAAAACTTCCTAAGAATGGTCTTAAGAATGGTCGTACACTTGGACTTAAAAGTTAAAGAAATCTTAGCAAAAAGTAGGACCTAAGAGCATTGTATAAAGCTGCTAAAACTAACTTTCAGCAAAGTGTAAGCCCAATTCCTAAGTGCTGACGGAGCCAGCATTTAAGTGTCGTGAAATGAGGACTACAAATAAAATCCCGCCCCAAATACTGAGTTCAACCAATAGAGGAGCTGCACGGTGAATATATTAGTGACATTAAACCGTTAATGTAGAGCAGGGGTCTCCAACTCCGGTCCTGGAGAGCTACCATCCAGTAGGTTTTCTATCCTACCTGGCTTCTGGTGAGCCACACTTGGCCCTGGTATTTACCTGAGAACAGGTGTGGCTCATCAGAAGCCAGATAGGATAGAAAACCTACTGGACGGTAGCTCTCCAGGACTGGAGTTGGAGACCCCTGATGTAGAGCTTTATACAACATACCTTTCTGTGATCATACCTTTAATTTGTTGTACGAAAATCTACCTAGCACATCACCAATCAATTTCCACCAATAGATGCACATGTTGTATAAATTATGGGTCAAACGCAAAACTCATAGGAAGACATTGGATTCTAAAAGAAAACCAAACTGGAAAACAAACAAAACGGTTCTTTTGGCACAGTTGGTGCTTAAATGGAAGGAGGTAGTGCGAGGAAAGTTTGGCCCAGCTGTTACAAGCAAGGACAAAAAAAGCTTAGGAGCTAGCTATTGCAAGCTCCGTAAATGCTGCGTCACCTCGGACAAGGCATTCAGCAGAGGAATGTGAAAAAAGGTGGTATAATGTTTTATCGACCTAGCGAAAGGAAATCAGAGTTTATAAAGCAATCATGCAAGCTACAGGTTTGTGTCATTACTTATATTGCTCTTATGACCCTCGTTATAATAGATGATGATGATTATTATTATTATATTTTTCCAGTTGCCAAAAACGTAGCATCATTATCACCTTCAGTTCAACTGTAAGTGCATTTTAGGTGACGTAGGAGATTGTATCCGGTTCCTAATTAGGTCGGTAACAAAAAGAATGCCGTCATGATCGAGCCTGTACCTTTTTATCGATTCATTATTGTCGTACGTCTGCAGGACGTCCTTTCTTTGACGGAAAGAGCGCGGTCTCCGTCTGGGTGCGCGTGGTGCAGCTGCCATCATTCAACTCCTAACTGGCTTAAGAGTCCTCTCCAGCTCTCTTAAATAATTTAGGAGCTGAGACCAAGTCTTAACACTTAAGAATGTTTATGCATGCCACTTATTCTTAAGTCTGGGAGCAGGAGCAAAATCACGTCACTCTTAGAATTGTGACGCATTTAAGAGTGAAACTTTACTCTGAGAAGTTTTACTATTTTGATCCCTATGAGGAAATTCTCGACCAACTCCCCAAAGTTGCTCTTTGTAAGTGAGAGCAAGATGGTCATGAAGGGCAGCCACTTGTTGCGGCCCCCCAGGGAGCTGGGGGTTAACGGCCTTGCTCAAGGACCCATAGATGTGTCAAGGCCGGACTTGAACTGGTGACCTTCTGACCACAGGCACAGAGGCTTAGCCCACTAAACTACAAGCCCATGCTTGCATTGACACCACTTTGGACCTGAGGTCCAGTGACCATGCAGCTGGCAAATGCAAATTCAGTGCTTGGAATCAACTCCAGATCATCTAAGTGCTTAATTTGTCATGGAGTAATGAAGAAACAGGCCACGCCTGGCCATGAAACTCACTTATCTAATAACTCTTGGGCCTATAAAAATGGAAGGACTACATGTAAATTCTACAGCTCCATCACATCTTGATTGCTTCATTTCAAAGCCATTGTAGTGGTGTGCAGAGGCATGCAACTTATGGACTTAGCTGTACGACAAGGGCTAGACGAGAGATGGGCGAAGACCATGCCGATAAGCCAAACACTGGGGATAACAGGCAGGGGTGTAGGAACCAGGCGGATGGGGGACACCCCCCCCCATGCCATTGAGAACAGGTGAGGGTAATTAGCATGCAATCACAAAACATTAAGGATTCAATCACCTGGATAATAGGAACACAGGAGATACAAGAAGTAGAAGACAACGACAAAAGTGGACAAAGGCAGGGAAAACCAGGAACTAACACAAAACAGGAACCAATACTAAAATGTATAAACGTAATAAATGTGGCACTTGCAAAAATGTCACAAGTTGGTGAGGATGCCCTCCAACAAGCCTCAAACTCACGATGGTATGGGATGCACAGTAGTAGCTGTAAGTACGGTGACCACCTAATCCATGTCAGGAGGGACACTATGAGCTACTTCAGCTTTTACGAACTACTTTAAAGCTGAAAGGGTTCTGTGCTCTGCTAAAATGTTTGGTTAGTTCCTAGATTGAAAGACTCATCCAGCTGTTTCGCATTAACATTACTGACACACATGCATGATTATAGGAGACTGACCAATCAGCACACGGCAAGAACCCAGTGCTTAAGTGAAATCCTGCTCCTTTTAATTGAAATGTATGAAATGGTGGTTTACAAATCCTGTTGTAGCTCATAGTGTCCCTCCTGACATGGATTAGGTGGTCACCCTAGCTGTACGCTCAGCCCATTCAGTCATGCAGCAGTACATGGAACCAGGGAAACAGTGGGGGACACATAGAGAAGAACGCGATGGCCAGCGTCACCTGCTGGCCAAATGGGGAAATGATGGACTGAATAGTTCAAGGCAGGGGCCAAGCAGGAAGGGGTGACTGTAATGATCTGTCAGCCCCGGAATAACATCATAGTTAAATCATGGGTGTGTTCCTCTAAATGTCTCTTGTCTCATTTCTCATAATGTTACCAAATCCAATTTTCACATACTGTACGTGATTTGATGTATTCTTCTCATTTTTTCCTGGAACCATTAAGCAAAATTTTACAAAAATAAGTCGTAGCCATGTCGTTGCAGTTATAATTAATCATTTTTAATTTGTTAGAAATTGAGTCATTTTTGTGCCATTGGTGCTACATTAATGTTATTTGTACCTTGGGGAACCAAAGCTGTACCAGCTCTGTGCCATTTTTTCTGTCAGCCCAGTAAACGTTCCTTATGGAAAGCACAGGTCGACTTTACTTAAAAACTTGATGTACTAATCCGCATCTATTTTCTTATCATTTGAACCGCAAGTCTACAACGCAAAAAGGAAGTGATGATCGCTCATGCACCCACAAGTATGCATAATTTTTCACAATTGGATTCTTGGTACTGTAACAAGTTGACCCATAATCAACATTGCTCACACAAAACCACAAAGCTATCGGGAAGAAACATCTCGTAAAAACAGCCTCAACGGGAAGTATTATACTAAATGCCATAACTGCACCTTCCCTATTCCTCTGTCTTACCGCATTGGTTTGAGAAGATTCAACAAAAACTGCGTTTCCCTAAATGAGGTGCGATGCATCCTTGTGAGGCTAACATGTGAGACGTAGATCTTTCGCGCCCTCTGCTGTACAGAGATATACTATGACTCCAGATAGCTAATGCATCCGGGCGTGGTATGCCAACTATGATTAACTCCTAAAATTCCGTTGAAAAATTAATTTACGCAAATTATTTTCCGTGAAAGCAATTGGAAATCGTATGAACATTGCCTTTACACGAATGAATCACATTGTCCGTTTTCTTGTGTGGGCTCTGCATACCAGATGTTTTGCCGAAACTTGCCAAGTTTGCGTGGCCCTCACCTGTTTCCTCCTCAATCATACTATGGAATTTTGTTTTGTTCGTTGATTTCTGGCTTTTATTCATCACTGATTTTACCGTTGTTAGGACGACTCGGTGTGTCCAAATTTATTATTTGTTGTATTATTGTGTTTTTGAGTGACTATATGTCTGTATTTTAGAAAAGAAACATTTTGCAAAATACTGACTTTCAATATATGCTAGAATAATATAAAAAAAAATAAGTAACTTGTCAATATCCAGCACACTTTGAAACAGAGCATTGTCGGCATAAAGCTTAGCGATGTATGTATTAAAGTCATCCACAAATTAAGTTCAGGTTAATAAATAGAGAGCTATTACTTCAATTATTCTAAACTGTCTTTCGTTGAGCGATCGTTTTTCATAAATATACTGCAGAAAGTCGTCTTTATACTGGCCGGAGTGTTATTTCGTATGCTTTTATGCTGATATATGGTGAGTTCAACAAAAGTGGGATATCGGGTAAAGTGGAACATTTAAGCTTTTCCCTACACTATATTAAAACAAATCAACAACCAGTGACAACCAGCAGCGCTACAATCATGCTACTGCAGGGCTTGGTCTTTATACCAGCTGTCATTGGTGTGACATGTTTATGGCGGGTGTTTTCAGAATTTCCAAGGAATGTTTCATGGAAATTTAAAGACAAGTCATGAAGTGAAAAAGAAAACAATTACTCATTTGAAGTAGTTGGATCTTGTGAACAAAATATTACAATGGATTTATTTATGGTTTGTTTTCTTGGTCAATAAAATGTTGCTTTGCCTATATACA